GTACTTAATAAAAAAACACTAAATCAAACACTCATCTTCTTGTTTTAAAATAATGAAAAAGAACGGAAAAGCACTGATACGTTTTCATCCATTACAAACATGTATTTTTTTATTGGAAGTCAAAGATAAATATTCACTTCGATTTACAAGAAAAACAAATGGGTTCAATAAAAATGCGTGCATATTTATTGGACCCATTTAATCTTTATTGTAGATCCTGCGAAATATATCGCACGTTTGTTGTCGCAAATCGGCCACAACGCAATCCTTAAGCCCCCATAACTGTACAAAAAACAATCACAGGTAATTATCTTTTAATATTTAAGCTCAGACTACTAATAACTTTTGAGTGATATAAGAAGTTCCTTCAAAAATGGCTAGTTGAAAAGTCGAGAATTGTCTGACGAAAAAAAAAACCACCCAAGCACAAATATTCCGGTACTTTCGTTACGAAAGTCGGAACAACACGTTTTGAAAAATTAAAGTGATTTTCCGTTTGCGTAGTTTCAACTAAAAGGCAAAATGACTACTTGGCAGCTTCTTATTTTTTTGCTGCTAACTTTTTTCTCTTATTGCAGTTATACACATCCGGGACACGGAAAAACTGATTTTTGTTAAACTGTAAAAATTACTTGAATGTGTTGCGTCTTGGCATTTTAAGTATGCTTAAAAATCTTTTGTAGGTCTTTTTGATTATAATTTTTTTAAAATTCAATCATATTAGTCGGAAAACTTTTTGAAACAGGCTATATGTTTATCACAGTATTTAATTTGGTATTTAAATACGGTAAATTATACGGGATTTAATTATACCGTATTTAATTTGGCAGTGCATCCAAATTGTTATATGAAATTGTCATTGATATTGGAATTCAGAAACCTGACGTTTTTTTTTTACCTTTTTACTGCAGAAATTCGATTCAGCTTTTTTGGCGGTATGAGTAAACACAAAGAAAATTCGGCAATTTCAAGCTAATTCTGCCTCGTTTTGGTTCTGATGTGTATCGGTTTCGGATAACTAACTGATTAACAACATTTAATTTCATAACTAAATTAACCGTAATTATCGGAAATTACATGTCAATAAAGAATAACTACTTTCCATAAATTTCGCGATTTGAAAGCAGAATTCAAAACAAAAACATTGATAAATAATTTTTTAAACAGCGCTTCAAAAACTTCTGAACGTTGTTTTGGTCTTTCAGTTTTTGTTTCAGCTTTCGTAAGTAACGGAATGTTTGTGCTCGGGGTGGGTTTTTTTTTCAGAACAATTTTGCTTTTTAAGTAAGCGTTTTTGACAAAACTTTTTGCATCAGCCGAAAGGTATTGTTGTCCTGAGCTCAAATTCGAGAAAAAATTTTACCTGTGATCATTTTTCATAACGTTATGATAGTTTAAAGATTGCCAATTTGGGACAATTTACGCGCGATATATTTCGCGCTATTAACGCGTAAGCGGAGATATAGTCCCTCATAGAAATCGTTCCAAACTCGTTGATTCAAGCTATTTGTCATAATTTCTACGCTACTTTATATTACTTTGCACTTTATATGGCGTGTGGGGGGATGTTTTAAGAAATCTCAAATATTATGTAACTTTTTTTTTGAAAGTTTCAACATTTTCTTTCGAAACTGTTTTGATCGAGAAAGTCAACAAATAGGTCGAAGATAATCGCAGATTGATTAATATGGTAGAATTTTATACTATATAATGTCAAGGGGTGATATATTGCAATAGGTGGCAAGTTTAAGTTAAATAGCTGGATGGCTCTCTGTTATACTTCAAACAGCATTTGTGATTTTTTTTTTCAAAAGCCAACTTTTCTGATAATATAATTGTAAAATTTGAAAGTTTGTATAACATTTCATCTGGCTAGAGTAATGTTATTATAAAATTTTATTAGCATGTGCCATTAATTGAAAATGAAATGAGTGTATTATTCATTCTGGTCCATGAATTTAATATATTCACTATTAAATGTTGAATTCTAAAGTGAAAACACAAATTAGCGTTACATCTCATATTGACGTACTAAATCATCCCTTTTTAGCTATTTTGAGCTTTGTACCAGCTCCTGAGTACATATAAAAGGAGGAGCACATTCTTGAAATGATTGAATGATCGAAAAAAAAAAACGTTTTCTTAACAGCTTTAATGACTAAATCAGCAATTGGACACACCTCAGTGGTCAAAAGACTCAATTTGAAATGTCTCACGGAATGCAAGTGTTCCAGCCGAACGCTTATTGAAATATCAAGGTGTTTTTAGCTGGATATGGTTTTTATATGGGATTTAGTTCTTGGGCATATCAGATGGTAAGTTTTTGCCTTAGGTGTTTTGTACTGAACCAGTATCACAAGAAAATGCCGTTATTTTTTTAGTTTTTAGGTTATATTTAACTGATTTTAATCAAAATTTGACATACTTTCAGTCAATCGTTCAATTTAGCAGACATTGAGCATTATGTGGTTGAATCTGGTTGTGCATGTCATGAATTCGTTCAGAGATCCGTAATCATCCTAATTAGTTCTCGAACTGAAACATAAATTGTAACATAAGTGTCATTGATTGTTTCCTGAGCCCGGCTTATCCATCATTTTAATACCTTTAATTGGACCCAGTTTCAGCCGATTAGACCAGACATGCACATTCTCTTGTTCCGTTTTCTGAATTAATCCGAAGACAGAGAAACTTACAAATCCTGGAAATTAGCTCTTACTAAACCCCCTCTCGCCATCGGGCTTAATGGTTTATTAGCATCAATTTTCTCCGGATTAGAAGAACCAAGTCTTTGTGACAGCTCTCTTTGTAGTTTACTAGCGTTCAGATTCAATCCATGAAAAGTTCACTAGCATATAACAGTTCCGATTTTTGCAAAGTTTTCATCTCAAAATTCATAAACCAGGTCGCGACGTTTCTCACCTTCTTTGCAAATGTTGTGTTATTTATAAAAACTTCATCTGATATACATTTTGAAGGCGTGGCTGAATGATGCTATCAGTAGCGTAGGGAGGGGGGGGGGGGAGGGGTCACTTTTTACTCAACCATGATAGCCAAAATTTCCACAGGGACCTTCCATTGGTACAGCAGCAATTTCTGACTGATCAACCCACAATATTTTAGTGTTGATTTTGATTCTAACGAAACTCCATTGCTATTTCTTTAAGGCTGCAATTTCTAAAAGCAACATCAAAAACCAACGCCTTTCCTCTCAGGGATTCGACCCCTGCTGACCCAAAGGGTCCCCCTCTGTTCTATTTTGAGATATCCTTTTTTAACAACGGACACTAAATTTTTTCTAAAGCCGCCTTTGGCGTCAACTTATACTAATTTTGAGAGGCGAGCGCGCGCCGAAAAAACGCAATTTTTTGGTCAAAATTTTCCAATATGAGCATTCTAGGGCTTCAAACTTTTCAAAATGGCTCATCTAAAATTTTCTTTACAAAAATTTTCAAAAAAGCAACACCCCCGTCAAAAAATCTCAAGCACATCACTAGACGCTGTTCTTTGAATATAATTGGGTTCAATCTGTATTTTATGCTTGCCCGCAATGCCAAGATTCAATGTGCTGTAAACAATTTAGCTATGACTTTCAATTTTTCTCATCAAAGGCAAGAAAAAAGCATGGGAACGAAGGGGAACGGGAGCCTGTAATAAACAAGAGGTGCAGCAAAGAATATAGTTTTCTTTGTTCTTAATGTCAAAAAGTAATAGATCTCTTTTGATCTGATGCCTTTAATCAGAACCAGTCTCAGTGGCGGTCAAGGTTGGATTACGCAGCCAGGGGAACACAAAGGACTTCCTGTCAGGAATTAAGAGAGTTCAGGGCAATCCTGAACATCCTGAACGTGATCTATCCAGGAAAACTACCAAGGTGAAAAGATGAAAATTTGAAATTAAGAAGAACAGTGTCCAACGTTCGAGTCTCATTATATCAAACAATGCACAAATTCACTCATTGTATTCTTTCATTAAAAATGCAAAAAAATTGCATGGAGATCTTAAACAGGAGCACATCAGCGGTTTTCAGCGAAGAGTTGAATAGCTCGCATGTTGGTCATTTCCCTTGCGAGTAATTGGTCTGAATATTAACAAATAATTCTGGAACACCAGTCCTGGACACCTGCTAAGAGTCTTTACAGGCAGGGGTGGATCTAGGATTCTCTCGAGGAGGTGGGATTTTCAAAAAATTACAAAAATATCAGCAAAAATACAAGAATATTTTTGAAAATGTTTGGAGAGTTTTGCCAATAATATTTGTTTATGGGCTGTTTTCTTTTTTAATTCAATATGCATTGGCACCCAAAATGTCGTTAA